AAGCAGAATTCAGGGGAAAGCTCTCATGATGATTTTTTATATGTTAAGGGTAATCGGGATTGTTGAAGAAAGAAAGAGAAGAAGAGTCCTGGAAGACTAAATTATAGATCAAAGTTCAAAGGCAAAAAGACAAATCATTGCAACAAGTGTAAGGAGTCTGGTCATATGAATAGAGAATGTCCAAAGCTGAAAAAGCAGACTGAGAAAAAATGTGATGCATCATCGAAGCCTGTAAATATTGTGCAGAGTGACAATTCAGATTGCAGTGATGATGATATGCTTTCAGTTTCATCAACTCAATTTAGGGATGCATAGATTCTTGATTCAGGATGCTCTTATCACATAACACCTAACAGGGAGTGGTCTACTTCATACATGCTAACTAATTCTGGTTCTGTCTATTTAGGTGATGATAGATGTTGCAATATTATTGTTATTGATGAAGTCAAAATTCAGATGTATGATGACACTGTTAGAACATTATTTGATGTCAGACATATTCCAGATCTGAAGAAGAATTTAATTTCCATGGGCACTTTACATAGAGATGGTTTTATTCCTAAGTTAGATGATGATGGGGAAACCATCAAAATTGTTAAGGTTGCACTGACTATAATGAAATGAAAGCTAACTGCATGTAATATCTACGAACTATTGGGGAGTACAGTTGTAGGTGAAGTTCATTCTATAGTCAGATGATGATAATAATAGTCAGATGATGATAATACAAAGCTATGACATATGCGACTAAGTCATCTTAGGGCCCGCTTGGTTCCGATTTTTTGGGTGCGGCGCAGCCTTCTGCCGTAACACTGTTTGGAAGACGGCTTCGCGGCAACGTACCGCGGAGCTTGGGAGAAAGCGGACCGCGGGATAAATCCCGCTGCCTCGCTTTATTGAGCGTCTTTTACCTCATCGCCCCGAACTCCTGACAATTGATCCTCTGCTATCCCAGAACTCCCAGGGTGTCGTCGTCCTCCCATATTTCGCGAAGCAGGGAGGTCTCTCCTATTCTCTTCTAGATCCGGAGCCATATATTGAAATTGTTATAGAGAATAATTTTTGCTGAGAAATTGTTGAGGCTAAGCCCTAATTGATTGAGTTATCATGTATGGACAATTAAATAGCAATGTAGGTCAGGCCCGTATCAAACATAGACATGTCTTTAACACAGTTCTAACACGTTTTAGACACACCATAAACTGTATAGTTTAAATAATATTTAAAAAATTTAATACGCATGTCTTAAATTAATGAATTAAAATTTTTTAATATATATATATGTATATTTATTTATTTATTTAATACAAAACAATTAGTGCTTACTTTTTTATGTAAAAAACTAAGCAATATGTATAAATAGCTTACTTTTGAAAGTTAATGTTATCAAATTTGTTATTTTTTATTCTTTATAATTCTTAATCTTATATTTATTTAATTCTTGTCTATTTTACAATTTATATTAAGCAGATTTACATTTCACAATTACATATTTAAATTTTTTACATATATATATATATATATATAAAATTTTTAAACAGTTTTACCAAACAGATGCAGCTTTGTCATTTCTTCAGAAACAGTTGTCCCACAGCTGTTGTCACACGGTGCAACTGCACCAAATAGACAGTCAGATTTCCCGCAACAACCCACAGCTGCTTCCTGGGGCAGCGCAGTTGCAGCTGAAAAGCTGAGAAGCTGCAGCTGCGTCAAACAGACCCTTAGTAAACGTGGGATGGCGGAATTGCACCTATTGCATGGAGTTAAAAGCTGCAAACTCAATCTTTGTAAGTTCTGTGTTCTTGAAAAACAGACTAGAGTCAGTTTTATGACTTGAAAGCACAAAATTAAAACGATTTTTGATTGTATGCATTCTGACGTATGGGGCCCCACCAGGGAATCGTCATTGGGAGGATCTTAGTATTTCGTTACATTTTTTGATGATTTCTCCAGGAAAGTTTGGGTGTATTTCTTGAAGCAAAAATCTGAAGTCTTTTCCAAATTCAAGCTGCGGAAAGCTGGGGTGGAGAACCAAACTGGCAGAAATATCAAGCATTTGAGATTTGACAATGACACCGAGAACACAAATTTGCAGTTTCAGAAGTTCTATGAGAAGCATGGGATTCAGAGGCATTTTTCAGTTCACAAGACACTACAGTAGAATGGTGTGGCAGAAATGATGAACAGGTGCAAGGGAACGGTTCCAGTTCAGATGCAGTGCAGATGGAAGCATCCAGAAACGACTGAGAGAGTTCAACACCTGGTGATTCCATTCCAGATGATCTGCAGAATTATAATCTAGTCATAGATAGAAAGAGACGCACTAATATAAGACCTCCTAGAAGATTGGGTTATGAAGATTTGGTCTCTTGTGCACTTCTCATCGGCAGTGATGATCCAATCAATTTCCAATGAGCTATCACCAGCCATGAGAAAGAGAAATGGATAAGTGCAATGATTGAGGAGATGAAGTCTTTGCAAAAAAATCGCACATAGAAGCTAGTTCATCTTCATGAGGGAAAGAAGACTATTGGGTGCAAATGAATGTACAAAAGAAAACCAGTAGTATTAAAAAAAGAAGAGAAAAAGTTCAAGGCTCGACTGATAGCAAAGAGATTTTCACAGCAGAAGAGGGTAAATTATGATGAAATCTTTTCTTCTGTGGTCAGACATATTTCAATCAGGACAGTGTTTGCATTAGTAGCTATTTGAGATTTGCATTTGGAGCAGATAGATGTTAAAACTGCTTTCTTGCATGATGATTTGGAGGAGCAGATTTATATGGAGTGGCCAGAAGAGCTCACTCAACCTAAACAGGAGCATCTTGTTTATAGATTAAAGAAATCGTTGTATGGGTTAAAACAACCTCCAAGACAATGGTACAAGTGACTTGACTCTTACATGATTCAGATTGACTACAAACGATGTGAGTATGATTATTGCGTTTATATGAAGAGTGTTGATGATCGTTCTATTATTTTCCTGTTAATGTATGTTGATGATATACTGATTGCTGCAAAGAATATGAATGATGTCCATGTTTGAAAGCTTTATTAAGCCAGAAATTTGAAATGAAAAACTTGGGTCCTACAAAGAATATTCTTGAAATGAAGATTCATTGAGATAAAGGCTCCAGACGATTATGTTTATCTCAAAGAGACTATGTTGAGAAAGTGTTAGACAGGTTTGAGATAAGCAAAACAAAACCTGTGAGCACTCCATTGGCAAATCATTTTAAGCTTTCTTTAGAATAGTTTCCTAAGACAGATACAGAAATCAAAGACATGACAAAGGTTCCATATGTCAGTGTAGTTGTTTGTTTGATGTATGCAATGATATGTACTCGTCCTGATTTGCCTCATGTTGTTAGTCAAGTCTGCAAATAGATGTTTAAACCTGAAAGGTGACATTGGGAAACAGTCAAGTGTATTTTCAGGTATCTGAAAGATACTGTAGGATATTGAATTATTTTTAGCAGTAAGCAGAATGATCCTTCAGTTGTGGGATACGTTGATTCAGACTAAGCAGGTGATTTGGATGACAGAATGTCTACAACTGGGTATGTGTTTACTCTTGGTAGAAGGTCTATATGTTGGAAATCAATAATTCAAATGGAAATCAATAATTCAGTCTATTGTGGCATTATCTACAACTGCAGCTGAGTACATGGTAATAGCTGAAGCTGTAAAAGAAGTCTTATGGCTTGCTGGGCAGACAAAGAAACTAGACGTTAAGCAAGGTGGAGTTCAGTTCCATTGTGACAGTCAAAGTGCTATTTATTTGGCTAAGAACCACGTGTACCATTCAGGAACAAAGCATATTACTGTCAGGTATCACAAGATCAAAGAATTGATTGCTTCTAGTGAGATACTGTTGTAGAAGGTTCATACTGATGAAAATAGAGCTGATATGTTGACCAAGCCAGTTACTATCAACAAGTTCTTGCATTGCTTGGATTTGTTGAACGTTTGCAGTTGCTAGAGAAGCACGGTAGCATAACCCACTTTCAGTGTATAAGAAATTTCATGATGTAATTCTCCTAAGGGGTTGGATATTCGCCAAGGTGGAAATTTGTTCGGCATGACTCATATACCATATAAGGGACAGATGCAGGAACGAAGCGGAGCAGAGAGGAGCAAAGCGGAGCAGAAGAATCTGTCAAAATCGGGGGATTTTAGTTATGTGGGTTGGGTGCGGGGGAAACGCCCCACGGTACGGTACAGGGGTAAATTGAGAATTATATATTGCACTCCAAGGTTTTATCTAGAGTTATATATAGGTATGTTTGTAACCATATGCTATTTGATTTTGTATTCTATATCTTGTACTCTTTTTCTGGAGATGAAAAAAAGCTGTCGCTCTGCTCCCGAGAACATAGACATCTTTGTCGAACCTCGTTAAATCTCTGCGTTCTTCTGGTTTTGTGTCGATTCCTATTTTTCTTCTCCCTAATTTCTCAACATAACATATGAATGAAAAGATGTATTTCACTTTTAAAAGTCAGTAATAGTGACATTCTTAATACGATATCAAACATTTGAGTGGCATATATCTAAATATGAATGTTTTGGTGTTAGTTTGTAAAAATATCAAAATAATATGTGTCAAAATATTAAGAATTTTTGTTTTAGATATCTTCAATTTTTATTATTTTATATATTTAGTAGTTGCTACAATTATCTATTGTTGGTAATTTCTATTTTGCAAGCATGGTGATTTTGTGAGTTTCGTAATGCGGTGACCATACTTTGTTATTTATCTTGCAACTAAGTCTTATGAAATTGAAGAGAAAAAATTATTATTTCCTGCTCACGAAAACTACAATATGATATATAAATGTCCCATATATAGGAGGCTTTCTACTCCAATTCAACCCTCACAGTGACCTAACTACATGAGTCAATCCACATATTATCTTTCCGCTATAGGTTTCTTTGTAAGGTTAAAAATCAACTTCACAACTTAACAAAGAACTAAATATATTTACTTCAAAGAGAAACCATTTTATCACCTTACCTTCCTAAGAAACTTGCAGATAAACGCAGTCCCCTCAACATCTTCGGTGGTATAATCTTTCGCAGTTTTTGAGTAAGAGAATCCAGTACCAATAGGCCAATCCACAAAGATCATGTTTGAAATCTGAAAAATCAAAATAATTCAACAGATGAGTAATTAAGTACAAAAATTCACACTAAAAAACAGAAAAAAAAGAGCAAAAAAAAAAAGTTGTATTAAGCCGCTCACCTTTGTCCAAGCGAAAGGATTAGCATATAAATTGGGCAGTTGGCCATCAAAATCATCAATCTTGAATCTGAGAGGCCCTGCACAAACAGGACAACTTGACACATTAAGGATCTTCAATCTCCATTCAAAGTTGATTTGTGCTAATAAAAAGAGGGGGAAAATGATAGAAATAGGAGATGAGGTGATGAAGAACAGAGCTTACCCATGTCCAAGGCGAGGCCATTGATACCCGAGCAGCCCGGCCCTCCAAGCCCTCCAATTAGCCACAGGAGGAGTGGGTCTTCGCTTGGATTTCTTTCAGACTCCACAAAGTAATAGAATAACTCAGCTCCGCTCGTCGCATTCATAGTCACATACCTTTTTCCATCCAAAAACCAAAACCAGTAAAGACAAGTTCAGGATTGATTTCATAGAAGTGTACCACATAAACTGTTAATATAGATCAGAATGAGATTGGGGATTAGTCTCATTCCTTGAGCAAGACAAAATTAAGTTGCCGATATACAACCATCTATTAAAATATTTAGCTTTGGGATTCACAAGTGAGGGGAAAATGTTAAATCCACGGATGGATGGATGGATGGATGTCTGTCAGCCTCAAATGCACAGTACTGAAATAAGGAAGAGTTTGAGACTCACCCAGTTTCCAGACGAAAGGGAAGTGAGCCATCGAATCCAGGGAGATGAGTAATATTGTAAGAGGCAGAGAATGAGGAAGAAAGCAAGCTGAAGAAGAGGACGTGACACAGTGCCGCCTGTAGTAGAAGAGGGAGCTGACGACCGGAGGTAGACATGGCTGCTTCGGAGAAGAAGGAGACACACAGACTGGCCTCTTAAAGTAAGAGGCCATGGAAGTTGGTATGACTTTAGAAGCAATAATACTCGCGCTGGGTCACATTGAGTTTCACGTGATGCCTGTTCAGAGGCCTGGAAGTTGGTATGAGTTTAGAAGCGCTTTGTCACACTGAGTATCACGTGATGCCTGTTCACTCAGAACATGCGAAGATCATGGAAGTAGGTTCCGAGTTTTTAGGGCTAATGCAAATGTAAAAAATATTGTACAGTTCAGATCTTCAACGTCCGGCAGTTACAGTGCCCATCAATGAATCTTTTGTACGCAAATATTTCTCTTTGCGTACATAAGATGTACGCAGCTCTGCATACATCAGAGGTTATTCAGGGGGTACAATGGGGTTATATCTGGGTTATACCCCCTTGTAACATCCGGTATAACCCGGATATAACTCCACTGTACCCCCAGAATAACCTTTGATGTACGCAGCGCTGCGTACATCTTATGTACGCAAATATTTCTCCATCAATGAAGTGTATAGCAAAGTGACCAATGATTTCTCATACAAATATCACTAAAAACTATGAAGACAAATTAGAAAGAGCATGTGGCAAATTTTTGTGAAGAAAATTTTTTTGTTTACTTTTCTTTTTTTGCTTTTTTTTTTTTTTTTTTTTTGCTCATGGGAGATGTATAATTTTGATGTCTTTATATATGAATTATTTGCGGCGAAGCACTGGTGAATCACATAAGTATACGAGTCATATAGGTAATATACAAAATTGAGTTTATTGTATCGATCCAATAGAGATTGAGATAAAACCCAAATTAAAAAAAAAATCTAGGCTATTAGTTCAAATTCTAGCTCGTATGTCCGAAATTTGAATTTTAGCTGTAATATACAAAATTGAGTTTATTGTATCGATCCAAATTTGAATTTTAGCAAAAAATAACTACCCTAATTTTTTTTGAAGTGATAAAACCTAAACTCTCTCGGTGGGATAGAGAGTTCACAAGGTTAATAGTGTTGGCAAATGAATTTTTAAATTGGTTAGGTAGAAATGTAGCTTTAAACTATCAATTCAAATTTCAATACACTAGTTTAATTCCCTAAAATTAGTGAACAACCCAAGAATCTGAATCGCCCTAATTAGTTTGCACAAATCCAGAGGCAATATCCCTATTCCTCTAAATTCATGTGGTTAACTTAACTGTTCTACTAAGATCTCTTATGAGTTCTTTAGTTCACGATAAGTTTTAACTATCCACCTAGCCGAGATAAATGTAAATTAATTTTTTGAGGTTAACACAACACTAAATGCTAATTCTAACAAAAATCATACCAATAATTCAAACTTATCATTCCTGCACTTTCAAACCAAAGGAGAAATGAAGATATATACTCACCACGCATGCTTCTAACAATAATTCCAAAATTTTATTGATAGAAAATAACCAAATTACATGAGTTTTGCCAACTAAGAAACTCAGAAAAATCAAAACTAAAAAACTTATCTATCTTCCTCTAATCAAAGAAGGATAACACAAGCATGAATACAACTTCACACTATATACTCACAATCTCTCTTCATTACATCACTTATAGGCCTTGTATTCTTCTTCAAGTGCTCTTCACTAATATCCTCTTCCAAAAGGGTGCTTTCTCTCTGAAATTGCGCTGCACTACTCTCTTAGAGTTGCAGTCTCAAAATCTCCTTGTTTCCTTTACTTATTGAAGACGTCTTTCTTGAACTTCACATAGCTAGATATTTCCTCTATTTTTGTGTTATTTTTCTCTTTTAATGTTGAAGGAGTCGTCAGTTTGTCTGTCGTGGTAAATCTCTCTTTCATAACATATGAATGATCTAGAGAAGAGAAAAATCAAAAGAAAATTATATACAACGAAGAAGACAAATGGGAAAACAAACACTTGGAGAACTTTCGTGAGAAAACTTTGCGTGATAGCTCAAGAGTGTACTCTCGAAACAAGATCGGGTCGAAAATTCATTTGAGACATATCTACGAAGAAGACCTACGAAAGAAACCTAGAACCAGAGATTCAAGTGTGTTTTCTTATTATGGGTCAAGAGAAACTCCTAAAGAGATATATCTCTTTGGTTAATTACATATTGGGAGGTGCCCACAAATACTCTCAATAAAGAAATCCTTCTTACACTTGTATGACGATTAGTAGAGGGTTCACAAAGGATGTTTATCCCATAGGAACGTCCTGATGCCATCAAAGATCGCGTCGATCCATACAGGCAGAGAGTTAGTCTCTCACGATCCTATACGAATGGTGGCTTATTGGTTGACCGGAGCCTATGAAATAATCAGGTCGTTACATAGGGTCTGCACCATGCATCCAAGGCTAAACAGGACCATAAGGGCATATGGTGAATCACCGTATCCTAAATGGGCGGCAACTTATCCACAATTGGAGCCTACGAGACGACATCAATGAAGCATCAAAGGGAGTGACATGGCTCGAATGGGGTAGTCAAAGGAAGGGAGGAGTGATCCCTAACAGGTAGAGGTAGCAAGGTCAGTGTAGCACGGACCTGTCATCCCAAGCCACTATGATCCTAAGTCTACTTGGTCGTGAAGATAATCGACCTAACATGCCCAAAGATCCTCGATCAGTAATTTATGAATTGTGTCTCCTGCGAGAACCTTAGTAGCCCTAAGGTCAAATAAATGAAACTTTATCTTATGACTATCAGGTGGAGCTGTTAGTGGTGGGACATATACCCGCCGAAGTGATAATGATGTCGTTGAAAAAGAAAGAGAAAGGGAGGTTAAGCTAAAAAACTGAAAACACTCCCAACGAAGGACATGCACACCGTTTGGAGTGACTAACTACTTATGTGCACTAGACAACCACCTAAGTAAAAAATTTATGTTGGGTCAGTCTAGTTGGAGAAGCATGGAGGCTGATCCCGATTTTATATGTCAATACGATGTATACGGTTATAATATTATTTTTTTCTTATTTATATTTCTTACTTTGCAATGACAACCAAAAATTTGATCATCAGCAACAACTAGGCAAAATTTTAACTTTGAAGCAAATAAGAATACAATTATTATATTTAAATATGAGATACTATGCAAGTATAAGTATCATTATCAAGTAATATATAATTTTTTGATTAAGCCCCGAATATCGAACCCACGAGGACAAGAAACATCCACGGGGACAAGAAACAGTATGCAACTAAAATCAGAATAAATTAGATTAAAAATTCTACTTAGCAAAATATTCTTACTCAAATTATAAATGTAATAATATAAATGAATGTTTGATTCTTTTTGTAATTTTTTTATAATTGAAAGTAAATTAAACAACTAGAAAGAACTTTGGCTAATATAAAGTTTGAATATTCCTGAAGACTGGCTTGGTAGGGAAGATAATAGATCTCACTCTAGAGTTACCTCTTCTCCCTCCACCTGGGGCCTAACTTCTCGTATCAAAATAAAAAATAATAGAACGAATTGGGGGTTTTAGTCTATCACTCTAAAGGCCCATAACTCTAAACCCTTCAAAATTTATTTCTCTATTTATTTGCACTCAATGTATGGATCATCCATACAATCTCATGTGATTCTTACTATTTGTTGACTGAGACAATGTCATCTCGGATCTTACATGTTCTCACAACAGATATTAACATCTTAATTAGTCAAATCAAGAAGTAAATGAAGTACAAAGTTATTATAACTTATTCCAACATTAAAGATTAACACTTCACACAACTTCTATCTAATACTTAATCACTTATCATTTTAAGAAAAAAAGACAAAGAAAACTACTCAGAATTCATGAAAAAACACAACTACACTTAAGTTTGAAAGTAGAAATCATGCAAACAAACAAGAAGTCTAAACTAAAATCAAATGTAGTCACAAAAATAAAAACTTTTCTTAAATTCTCTCGACCAAAATCTTGAAATTCTTTTGAATTTCTTCCTTCACTTATAATACGAACTACAACTCAAAAGAAAAAAAAAAGTGGCAATGGGATGTGTGGCTATGGGCGTCGGCGACGTGTGTGGGCGACTGGAAGGGGGGCTAGCGATAGAGATATTTTCCAGTTCTTCAATCTAAGTCTTCTTTTATAATTTTCCAAAAGGAGTCTCGGCGTCTCTTCAAAATGTGTCCACATTCAATGAATCTTCTAAGAGTAGCTTCCTTTCAAAAGCCAATTGAATGTATTTTTGTGTCTATTAACTATTTCCCACGTTTTAACCAAGGATTGCTTCAAAAACCTCTTCAAAAATTCATTGAATCGCCAACTAACTACTTCTGACGTTTAAACACGAGATACTGGGCGCTTAGGCGCGGCCTTCTCTGTTTTACTGGCACGTAAGCGCCAGTTATGGGCGCTTAGGCTCCACAGTTCTTTTGCACACCTTTATTTTTTATCCAAATTTGATTATTTTTTCACTCCTTTCACCATTTTTCATCCATTTGATTGTATCTGAAAGAAAAACACACAAATAACTTCCATTAAAATACAATATCTGAAAAATAAATTAAAATACAATATCTAAAAATAAGTATA